GCAGCCCGTGCGTCCGACACGGCGCGGCCCCGCCCGCGGCCGCCGCACCGGCGCAGGCGACCGGCGCCACTGGGGCGGGGCGCACTCGGATTGGGGTCAGTTGAGCAGGCTGGGAGTCGGCGGTGTGGAGGTCGGGGATGGGCGAGGGCTGGCTTTGACCAGGGGAATGGCAGAGAATAGGCTTCGTGGAGCTGTGCAGTGATGCAATCAGGCGTCGTGCAGTTTTGGAACTTAAAACTTGGGAAGTTCTAGAGCATCGCAGCTGACCGAGTCAGAACTCTTGACACAAAAGGGGAGGGGCAACGACGAGGGATAAAACCGAGGGCCCTGGGCCTCCCAGTGGTCGTCAAAAAGCAACATCATACGCCCCTGCCTCGACGTAATGATCGACAAGAGCAGCCAGCACGACTAGCCACTGAGCTGTCTCGACCCGTTTCTTGGTATTTTGGTACCCGTCTCGGCCAGTCTCTTGGTCTGTTGCTACCCGTCTCGGCCAGTCTCTTGGTCTCTTGCCACCCGTCTCGGCTCGTTTCTTGACATCACAATGTCAGTCCGCTTGCGTCTGTCTCTGTCCGGCTGTCTCTGGCTGGCTCAGTCTGGTCCTCTGCGTCGTCTGTCCCATGAGTCGTCATGACAGATGCGTCGACATGTCAAACCTCCTCCCTGCTCTCGAATAACACCATGTCGCGCGTGTCCGACATCACCGCGCGCCCGCCGGCCTCGCGCCGCCGCGTCACGACACCGCGCAGCCTCTGCCCTGCCCCCATTGTCGCCATGTCACACGCAGCTCCCGCCGCCGCTCCTCCGTCCGACATCAGCGCCGCAAGTCCGCGTGCGGCGCGATCGCCGCCGCCGCCAGGTGCGCTACAAACGAGTCGGCCGCGCGTCGATGGCCACCGCCCGGCTTGTAAATACCGGCCGCCCGGCGGTCGCCGCGCCGGAAACAACAATGGCTGCGGCGGCGCCGGGAGCGCGGAGAGGTGCTCCTGCGGTCACCGTGCCGGGCCAAGCTGGGGCAGGCCGGCTGGGGAGGCTGGGGTCGAGAGGTCAGAACCGGGCAGGCTGGGGCAGGCTGGGGCAGGCTGGGGCAGGCTGGCTGGGGAGGTTGGGGTCGGCAGGTCAGAACCGGGCAGGCTGGGGCAGGCTGGGGAGGTTGAGGTCGGCCGGTCAGAATCGGGCAGGCTGGGGCAGGCTGGGGCAGGCTGGCTGGGAAGGCTGAGGTCGGCCGGTCAGAATCGGGCAGGCTGGGGCAGGCTAGGGCAGGCTGGCTGGGGAGGCTGAGGTCGGCCGGTCAGAATCTGGCAGGCTGGGGCAGGCTGGGGCACGCCGGCTGGGAAGGGTTGAGATTGGCCGGTCAGAAGCGGGCAGGCTGGGACAGGTTGGGGCACGCTGGTTCACGCCGCGGAGTCATGGGGAGCGCCGAGGCAAAGCCACACAGCCTGCTACTGATTGGGCTCGACTGGAACTGGTTGTGGACGGCTGGTTCCGACGGTCATCAGTGGAGCGCACTGGGGCAGACTGGACCGACTGGGGAGGTGGAGGTCAAGTCTGGCGAGCATCGATCGAGAGCAGTACAGCATCACCGCCCATTCCGCCACCCCGACCGGTCCGTCGTCAGCACAATGAGCGCCATCGACCCAGGCCAGCTCTTTTCTGCGCCAGCGGTGGCCGGAAATCCAGCGTCGGCTGCAGCTGCCAGCTGTCTCCCGAGAAGACCAGAGTGATTGTCCCGGCCGACGGTCGTCTTTGGAGACACATCAGAAAGTCTTGGCTGACAGTTGTGTCTGGAGACTTATCAAGAAGGCTTCAGAAGGCCCGTCACTCTCTCAGAAGCAGCTGTCATTCAGCAGCCGTCAGCGAAAATCGACTTTTGATACGGCCTCTTCATGAATTGCCTTTCATTCTGATGGATGAAACAGGCCACATTCTGGGAGCTACCCGACGGATACGACTGGTAGAGGGAGGAAGGGACCTGCTCCCTTCCTCCGGGGGGCAGGGGGGCAGACAATCCTGAGCTTGTCAAAGCCGGCCCCGGAGGACGCGCTAATGGCACGCTACGACGCGGACCTGTTTCGTGACCTGCACGAAGCCGAGAAACGTCAGTCAAAAGCTCGCAAACCGGCCGAACAGTTATCTGCGCTGCCCCGCCCCTCCCCCCCCCCCCCCCCCCCGCCCTCTCCGCACACAAACACCAGCCTGCGCCACTGTTTTGTTGACTTGACGGCCGGCGTGGGCGTCCAGCGAGCAGAGCGTGTATCGCAAGCCAAGCTAGACAAACGAGCACACAGTGCGATTGTTTTCGAGCGTGCGGCTGAACTTATGAGCTTCGGATGACCCCGCGGAGCGCACCTCCGGTCCGAGTGGCCCGCAGGGCCTGGCTGAGCGCGTGCCGTTACCGAGACGTAACGGACACCAGGCGTGCAGAAGGGTCAGAGCGAGCCCCGTTCGGCCGCGAGCCACGCGCCTCGCCGGCAAACAAGGCACGGCCACGCAGGGCCGGTGGCTGGCGGACGACGCGTATCGTCGTGTTAACGCGACGAAGCTACCAGCGACCGGGCAGAGTGCGAGACAAGGCTCGGACCGTGGCGGTCCGGCTGGCGGTGGAGGCGTGCGGCTGGCGACCTGACCTCCCCCGAGGCGGCGCCGGAGGGCCCCGGACCCCCAGCCACGCGCGCCCGCCACCAAAGCCTGTCGCGACGAGCCAGACCCCCGGGAGCGGCCGCGCGGCGTCGTGCCGGAGCGTTCACCCCGACCGCCGGCCGCGCGGTATCAGAGCCCGGATCGGCGGCGGCCGGCGGCGCCTGGCCAGTGGCCGGCCGACCCCTGACCCGCGGCTCGCCGGGTCAGCCGGGTCAGCCGGGTCAGCCGGCTCGCACATCCGTCACGGGCCGGACGCGCCGCCGACGCTGCATTAGTCCGTGGCCCGAAACGTAAGGCCCGACCGCGCCGCGGCCTAATTGGCGCCAGCTCCCGGCGCTGCGGCCGGTCGGGGGCGCCAGACTGGGCTCGACGGGCGGCGCGGCCTTATTTAGAGGCGATAGCGGCCTTATGAAGAGGCGAGGGCGCCGCGCAGAGCACCATCCCGTGGAGTCGGCTGCAAAAAATGTAATTAACTGAGCGGCCGGAAAGGACGCTGCGCTTTTCCACGTGAGGTTGAAATGCGATGCTTTCGTGCAGACCAGGACACAGAGGTCACCGCGCCCGCGGTGGAAGGATGTAGCCCATTTCTCCCGGATCTTTCTGGGAGCGGAATCCGAGTGATTGAAGGGTGTTAGCTTAAGTCCCGCTTTTTATCTGAGTGAAAGGCTGTAAGTTAAGTTTCGCCGCTTGTTGTGGGTGACAAAGGTCGAGATGTGTGGGTAACGAACCGGGTCTCAGATGAAAGGAAGTATGTTCTTTCGGCCGGTGCCTCTGGCAATCCTGGTGTGAACTGGACCGGGAAATATCGGCACAAAAACACAGAGCCGTTCGAATGGCCGGACCTTTTCAGAAAGATACCGTACTTCGATGCAAGTGTTTTAGCACCTGTACTGTACTGGGCAATGTTGCTGTCATAGCGATCACGTGTGACCAGTCCAGGTCTGACATCCAGGTCAGATCAGTCCAGGTCTAACGTCCAGGTCAGACCAATGCAGGTCTGACATCCAGATCAGATCAGTCCAGGTCTGACGTTCGGGTCAGACCAATGCACGTCTGACATCCGGATCAGATCAGTCCTGGTCTGACATCCATATCAGATCAGTCCAAGTCTGACGTCCAGGTCAGATCAGTCCAGGTCTGACATCCAGATCAGATCAGTCCAGGTCTGACATCCAGATCAGATCAGTCCTGGTCTGACATCCATATCAGATCAGTCCAAGTCTGACGTCCAGGTCAGATCAGTCCAAGTCTGACGTCCAGGTCAGATCAGTCCAGGTCTGACATCCAGATCAGATCAGTCCAGGTCTGATATCCAGGTCAGACCAATGCAGGTCTGACATCCAGATCAGATCAGTACAGGTCTGACGTCGAGGTCAGACCAAGGCAGGTCTGGCCATGCACAACCAGCCCACGCCGTGCGTCTAAAACCTACATCCTGCTTGGAAACAAGTGAAGGCTGAGGGCAATGACGGGGCTTATGTGCAAGAGAAGAACTTCAAGTTCTTGAACCACGCATGCGAAAGAAACGTTGCCTCATCACGCACCAAATGGGCAATCGTGGTTACTCAAAATCCTGCCTATGGCCAGGCACCAACCCGGACCTGGTCGTTACTGTTAATCAACCGCCCGCGCTGCTCATAACGCATAGCTGAGTATCCCCTACGCAGAAACTGCACTAATGATGCGGGTCTGCCTCTGGTGTCCAGACTCTCTGAATATAGGTCGAATCCAACTGCCGGCCAAACCGAAATACCTCCAGTTGGCCCGACCGGCTGATTTGACCTGCATCCACATTTGCTGCGTCTAACCTCTGGTCACAGCTCACCGCGGGCCACGGCGGCCGCTGACCGCTGACCGCTGACCGCTGACCGCTGGTGACCAGCGCGGGGGCCGCGGCTGGCGGCTGTGGCGCTGGGTGGGAGCAATGCCGGGACCAAACACCGTGGGGACGGGCGCCGACCACAGGCAGCGCGCTGGCCTCCAGCCAATCGGGCCTCAATGATCCCACCTTCGCCCCGAGCGACAGGTGACCGCGCAGTGTCCCGGAGGACGGGGGTGAGGTCGGCCCCAGGGAAGTCGCGAGGATATGTGCTGACATCCTGAGGGACGACGGGGCGGGGCGGGCCAGATCGGGCCGGATATTTTTGGTGGGGCCCATGACACTGCCGGCGGGGCGGATACGGGTGTGATACTTTCTAGACGGGTATAAGAGCCCACGTCAAGGTGCGTTGTTACACCAGCACCAGCGTCACCGGACACGGATCCCACTCAAAAGTCTAACAAAACAGAACCGGACAGATGTGAGCGGCCGACGTCACCAAAACCGCATTCCAACACACGAGAGGCCAAGAGGCACCTACCTCATAGAAGTGTTTGATGTTCTTCAGCACGATGGAGAGGTTTCTGATACGCGCGCAGCTGTCGCCCGGGTTCCGAGTCATGCCCCGGTGCGGCACATCCGGGTGGCTGCGAACACACAGAGGTCACGGGTCAGGTCAGAGGTCAGGTCATGCTGCATACGACCGCCCGTCGCGTGAGCACATTACGGCGACGACAACGCGCTGCCAGGGGTCAGAGCGCGGTCGAGGATTTACGTGCAGTCCGAAGCGAATGCTGAGACGGGTGCACGCTGAAACTACGGGTTAGGTCACATAATGACCGGGATCTGACCATAAACGCCCGGGAGATCGACACGAAACGCTCAATCAGTCCCCGGGTCAAAAGCGCACACTTCGTGGCCTTCTTGATTGCTGCTGTACATTTCGGAGGCAGCCGCGAGCGGCGGGTCGACAGCATGATTCCAAACACGGCGATCGCGTGAATTTGCTAGCCAAACCGCTTCCCCGAGCATTCCTATGTAATTATGCATGCTTCAGCACATTGCTGATTCAGATTGCCCATCTTGATTCCCAGGCTGTGTTATGTCTGATGTGAGCATTGCGGCAACGCCTCACAAGGAGCTCGCCGCTGCCCACTGCTGGGTCTCGCTGCGGTGAAGGTGTGGCTCGACCTTTCAGTCGCTTGCGACCTTCTCACCGGCCTCGCACGACACCGGACCATTCTGCATACTAGGCACGGCAAAACGGAAGGGCAGAAGGGGCAAGCTTAACGTGACCGTGACAGACTCGTGGTCGGTCACTACCCGGAGGGAATACTGGCATGGGACTGAATCGCCCCATGAATGGCAGTTGTAAAGCCTGCTTAACGAAAGGCAGAAGGCTGCAGAAAACTGACGTAAGCGTATCTGATAAACGCCTTGAAGGTGACAAAAATCCCAGGGGGCTCAGAGAATCAGGTGCAACCTAACCCAACTACACTCCGCAAACCGGTTGTTGGACCGTTTAGAACGCGACCTCCAGGGGACTCTTGAGTGACGCTGCTTACGGTCTGCGTCCATATCAACGCGACACTTTCCTGTCAAGCAGATATCTACCATCAGCCGGCTGGCAACGGGGCCACTCGCCTCCGCCGCGCACCACGGTCGAGCGACGCCGCAGGTCGACTCGAGACCTTTGATCGCGGCCTCCTCCCAGCGAGGTCGCCCCGGTCATGTCCGACAGCTCACCACCGCCGTCCGAACAACACCCGACAGCGAGACCCCTGCACTGCCCGCCGCGGACGACCATGACCGTACACTTCGCCGAGGCCGCCAACAAATCAGCCGAGACAACGGGCACCGGTGCCGGCACGTACGCAGGGGAGGGCGACCGAGGCCGGCCGACGCCCGCAAAAACGCCACGATTGCAGACGTGCATCGACGTCCGCGGCCTTGCCGGAGGCGCCAGGCGCTGGGCGTCTCAGCGATTTGCTACGCCCGACATCTCGTGCAGTGTGCAGCGCTGATCCTCGACGCGGGGCGATCCGACCTGAGCGCTGCCTCCCACGCAACTTAACGCGGACGGCGCTCATAACTAATTCCCAGCGCGACTGCCGGCGGCTTTATTACGGCGCGGTGAGCTCCATCCCAAGCAGCAGACTCTTTCGGCGCGCCGGCGGCCTCCATACCCGGTGGTGAACTCTTTCGGAGGGTCGCCGCGCGGCGCGGACTGAAGGCTCCGTTACGGAACGGAAGGCCTCATTACGCCAGGGCGGCGATTTGTTACGGTGCAGGACGACGCGGAGCCCGGCCTGTTAACGAGCTCAGTCGGCGGCCTGACCGGCAGCAGCGGAGCGGGCTCCGGGGACTCGTCGCCGGCGGCGCCCACGCTGGGGATGAACGCGCGGAAGACGCCACGTTTGTGACGGGGTTGGGGATTTCAGAGTTGGCGGAGAGATTGTCACGAGAACGCGGTCTGCGCCGCACCGTTTGTCGCCAGTGGCGGTGGGATTGGGCTCGTGGGTGCACACAGCTCATCAGAAGGTCGGCAGTCAGAGAGCGCATCACACGCGGGCCAAAGGCAATCATCACCACACTCGCAGGCGAGAGAGAGGGAGAGAGCGCGCGCGCACCGGGTAACGACGTGCACCACACCCCAGCGCGCGGGCGCCGGGTGCTGAGCGGCCGTTTTTCTGGAGGCGGCCGGCGGCGCCGTTTGAGGCCACGGCTGCCACCCGCCCGGACGGTAAACAGGCGGACCGGTCACTGATCCGAGAGGCGGCGACATTCGGCGCCGTTCCGCGCCGTCCAGAGCACGCGCGGCCCCCTGTCCCGCCCAGGCCGCCAGCCAGCCTTTCACGCCGCACGCTCACCTAATTAACTGGACATTGGCCAGAAAATTTATGGATTTTTTGTATTGTCCTGGAAAATTACGCCATTCGAGCCATGCAAATGGAGATGTAGAGATACGGCGGCGCGGCGAGATGGGACGTCTGAATACCTGCATGGCCTTTACATCACTCAAACTGGCTGTGATTCAATGCAAAGCCCTCGTGATATGTCCAAACGCTTCCCCGACAATGCAGTAGCTAGCCTTGCATGTCGTCAAGATGTGTCAGAACGGCTTTCATTCGTAAGCCGGTCTAATTGGCGGTCTTCGACTGCGGCGACCACGGCCGCCGTGAGCACGGACACACCGTGGCTAGGTGGTCCAACCTGGTCCGGTCCTGGGGTCCCGCGGGCGTGGCGCCACGGACCCCACTGGTCCGGCGCCGGACGGCAAGACGCGCTGGACCGCTTCCTGCGCGGGTCGTACCGATGCGTCGCCGGCCTGGGTGGACGGCAGCAGCGCCGCCACCGTCCGGACAAGGCCAGGTCAGCATGTCATCGGTCTTGGCGGAAGCCAGGGGCGCTACCAGGGTCAAAATGATGGAAGGTCAAAGGTGACTCGTCAAAGCTCTGGACATTGAGGTGCCCAAAGGTGCCAAGCCAAAGCTAAAAAAGCGGAAATTAATGAAATTATCAAGGCGGGCGATGGACCGATTTGCAATAAAGATAATTTTTATTCTTGGTGTTTCTACCGAAGTCTTGGGTGACCCTAACCCCACAGGAGAGAAAGACAGTGAAGCATGAAGGAGCTAAGACATTCGCAATGACACAACGTCCGCCCCAACCGTGCGCACAATGTGCGTTACTAGCAGTGAAGCCAGAGGTGTTTGTAAAAGGTGCGCGCTTCAGATGATGCCTATAAGGTCGGCATCATCTTCGACCGCTAAGGCTGTTGATGTCCGCAACAAGCGTGCCACATGAAACACAACGAAGGCAGCAGTCGCACTAATACCCATAATGAGCCGCATTGCCGACTGCACTGCGCGTGATGCAGAAACCAGGCCCTCGTAAACATCCCACGGCAGTTTTCCACCCCGCCTTAACAACACCAGACTTTCCACATAGCCGCAAAGAGCCGCCCCAAAGTGTCACATCGGCGGAGCGCACCGGCGCTGGGATGGAGGTATGTCGTTCCCGTGGCCGCTGACGAAGTGCCGGAGACCACCCGGCCACGCAGACCTGCGGCTGCGCCCTGACCAGGGCGACACGAGCTGATTCTCTCGCTGCTCTCTGTTTCGATGCGGCGGGGCATTTGGAGCTCGTGCGGCGACAGCCGGAGGAGACCGCGAATTGCGGCCGTTTTTGGAGCGCGACGCAGGCAGTTCACGGTGACGACATGCCTGGAGCCCGAGCAACCGTTTCCAACGCGTCGGCCGTACAAAGGACTGACGAGAGCTTTGACAAGAGGCTTTCTCCACATGTTCTTGCCAGGATCGACAGAAGGTAAGACTGCTTTGGCAACTGCAAATAAGTTGCATTGGGTGTCAATGCACATATATATATATATATATATATATATATATATATATATATATATATATATATATACGTATGTATATGTATACATAAATATAGATAGATAGATAGATAGATAGATAGATATATAGAAATAGATATAGATATATATATGCTCATTGTGAGATGAGTCCATGAAGGCACAGGGAGACCGCCCGCCGTTGCGCTCCGCCGCACGCAGCGGGCGCCGAGACAGCTGAGCGTCGGCGGCGTCGGCCCGGCAGAGTTTGACGGCTGGTCCGACGCCCTCCGAGCCCGCCGCCGGCCGCGTCCCATCAGCCGTCAGCCGGGGCGCCCGAACCAGGCGCCACCAGCCACGGCCGGCGGCAGGCGGCCTCGACGGCCGGCGAGGAGGCGGCGCCGCTGAACCTGCCGACGCGCCGCGATATGTAGCCCGCTGCTCGTGGCGTCGGCGGCGGCGGGGCACGACCTTCGATCAACTGACAGTTGGCCGTGATTGGGGCAGGTGTTGTCAGCGCAGCTGGCGTGGCTCTTCACGAGGGTACGCCCCAGTTGAATCGTTGCAGGCGTGCATTCGCCGTTCCGCACGTGACAAAGAATTTCTCGCACGATTCATCTGGCGCCAAATGCTCTCTTTGTCAAGGAAGCATTTGTTCGCGGCTTTTCCGATGTACGTAGCCCAGGTGTGGCATCCTTACGGTAGTCGCCGAACACAAAGATCTGGAGGGTCATCACATTGTCAGCGGCGAGCAAAAAAGCAATTGTTCGCTGTAGCAGCCTCGCGTTCTACATTTCCCGATTCACAGAAGTTCGTGTTGCGTAACGGTATTGAAGCATTGACGGTCAACCGGAATTATGGCCATACATTTCCGCGTGGTCACGTGTCACAGCGGCCAACCGAAGCTCCCGTCACGCTCTCCCCGTTCCTCAGCATCGCCGAGTCTCCTCCGTGAGCCGTCCTGCTGTTTCGGGACGTCCAGCCCTCCCACCCCGTCCCGAGCTGGCGCCGCTGCGTCTGGCAGCCGGCTGCCCCGGCCGGGCTGCCATATTCGGGGCGGCGCCGGCGGCGGCCGGCGAGCCCCTTGCGGCCTAATGGTCGGTAATGCTGAGCCGGAGGTCGGTCGGCCGGCCGGCCGCCAGCGCCGACTCGGACTGATTCCGTCGGCGTAATGACAGGTGCCGCACGGAGACGGCGCGCTGGGAGAGGCTAACAGGCTGGGCGGCTCCGCCGGAGCGGCACGCGGCGTCTCGTTACACCAGCTCAGCCCACGCACACGCGCCGAGG